TGCACATTATTACAATTTTCTTGTTCTGTTTCACTGAAGAAATAAAGTCTTGTATAATCTGGAATGACATGAGAGATGTAAAAATAAAAATAAAAATTAGGTGAACTAATACTTTTCAAATGCATTGTATTGCATGACAAGACATCCTGGAACACTTAAGAAAGACACAAAATAAAACAATAACAAAAAGAGAAGTCAGTCAAACAAATCAATTTCAAGGTCCACATATCCATGACGTCCTGTGTGGACGTTTTTCATGGCTCACATTTGGGATTGGGAATAGGGAATGTTTAGTCTACATTGTGTTACTGCACTGTGTACATCTCTTACCTTCTCATTTTGCAAAAGACCACAATCTCTATAAATAAAAGAATATGTTGAAAATTTTAGGCAAGAAGACTGGACCTTTAAATGAATAAATAGCCCTTAATCTCCATGCTGACTCAAAAAAGAAGATCATTTTAAGATCACAGAGACAAGATTCTCAGCAACAGCGACATAAACAAAACAAAACAATGGCTGGTAATTCATGCACAGAACTGAGATGCCCATTCAAAAGTCATGCAAAAGATGTTAAAACAATCAAATTAAGGCACCTTGTGCTTGATAAAGATCAGAACGTATCTGAAGACTGCTTACCTTCAAAGAAACCACCATATATAGATTCTCCTCCTCTTCCATTGCCTAAGCAAAGAAAAGCACATTCATTTATAAGCACACAGACAATTGAGTATAACCAACCATCTCCAATATCTGAGTCAGTTATGAGTATGGCTTCACGTACCCTCCGTGAAATCACCTCCCTGGATCATGAAGTTCTTTACAACTCTATGGAAAGTTGAGCCTTTATAGCATAATTTTTTTCTTGTAGTTTTGCCACTGCCTTTCTCGCCTGCAAGCAAACCAAAGAATTACATCATTTCTGATTACTTTTATATAACAGACCTGGTGTGCGCAGCTCAGAAATGTACCGGCCATAAATAAAAAAAAGACCATGATTTCACAGACTAAGCTTTTAAAAAAGTGAACATACTTAAATTAATACTAATACTGTTAAATACTGTACTCTAAATTGAAAAACTGGAATCTGTTCTAAAGCATAATTTTACATAGACAGCAAAAGGTTAATCCAATATCTGATCAGCATGGAAGAGATTCCGATAAAGGCGCATGAATACGGTGGGTGAGGGTGTGGGTGACATGGGGATTGGTATATGCAATAAAACAGTCAGCTGAAGGCATGAGTCTCTCATTTCAATCTCAGCTGGTGAGAAATAAATTTCCCAGCATTGACCCAAAGCATTACCAACTTGAATTTATGACCAAACCATCTCAACGCAGACTAACGCAGCTTCTGTATTCTAGGAACAGGCTGTAAATACAGCTTTGGTTGTTTTACAGCCAGGATTTAGTCACCTTATATAGGTTTATTTTTGTCCTATATCCCTATAAGCTTATGCTTGTGTACATGGACATGAATTGGTATTGGAACTCTTTACACATTTAAAGTCTCAGTCTAGGTAAAATAACTTGCTGTAGCATGTTAAGCAATTTCTGTAGTATACGTACCAGTGCACAGCCAAAGAAAATTTTTGCTTGTCTTGGGACAAACGTCTGAGAACAGTTGAAAGACAATTCGTCCAACTAGAAGAAAGCAGAAGGAAACGTTATACTCGTGGATCAGACATGAGAAAACGTTTTTTCGAAACGAGAACGATGAGAAAAATGAGAAAACAGAAATGTTTTAAGCTTGCTTATATATATATATATATATATATATATATAAAGATTAGTTAGATTAATGTGACTATAACTGCAATTCAATTTATTAGCTATCATTTATAGGTTGATTTCAGTGTGGCAAACGGCAACACCTCCTTCATATTCAAATTATGAATATTATAATATTGTTTATATAATATTTTATAATATTTTTTTCAAATTATAATATTTTTTTCCTAAATATACATGAATGTGTGCACACGCACATTCATGTATATTTAAGGAAAAAATATTATTTATATATATAATATTTATATTTATTTATAATATAAAGTATATAAATCTATATACAGTATATAGATAAAAATATTTCTTAAATATATATAAGCATATGTGTGTATTTATATGTATAAAATAATTATACACAGTGCACCCACATATATTATGTAAACACAAACTTTTATTTTGGATGCGATTAATCGTTTGACAGCCCTAATTCAAATACAAGAGCATTTAAATTTAAGTGCGTTTTTGCAAACATAAAGATAGGCCTATCCAATTAATTTATATGTGATAAAATGAACATAAACAGGGTGTTAAAACATTTGCTTTGTAAAATAATGAGTATAAAATCTCTAAGTAAGAGGTTTTGGCTTCATGAAGCACGTGTCTTTCTTATAACACATAATTAGTGGTATACTGAGGTGAAACCCAGACATTTTTTAGTCTGTAGTTCATTAAAACAGCCCTGCAGGTCAGGGTGTGGATTGCAACAACAGCTCACTCACTGGCACATGAATATTAACCACCATTACCCAAGCACTTATAAAATGCACATGTAATGTTTCGCTTTCGTTATTAGGCACTTATTATTACTAGCTTGTTTATCTTTTGTACAAGCTCCATAACTTCAAAATGTCAGTACAAATTACAAAAACGCTTGAAGTTAAAGTTAAACACTCTGAACCCCTTTTAAATGTTACTATTTACAACATTTGCTCAAAAACACTAATGTTGACTGCTAAAGATAGTTTCTGTAGTTGATTTTGAAATACAATGCCAAACAGATATAAGCAAACATTTTAAGCATTTATCTATCAAAACTTGTACTTTTAACTATTTGACCTTCACACAACACTATTTTGATTGTCACATCTTACCTGGTTCTCTGTTGATTTCCACATCGAAATAGCACTGAGGTCGATCTTTTACCCCCATTTTGAAAAGAGTGGGCTTCCTGTAGTGCAAAATCACAGCAAAATACAGTTAAATGCTGTATTCCCTATCACCTACACCAGGAAGAAATCCATTTGTCAGATATCTTAGAGGACATCGTTTCTCTCCAGTTTCAGGTGTATCCTGATTCGTAAGTGAACAGAAAGTCAGACACTGAGATTGGGGAAGTGTTTCGGTTAACCAATGAGATGTAAATCTCCATGCATGGCCCTCCAACCTCAACTTCCACCCCCTTTTTTGAGAACTGCTCTGTCTATCACCGAGTGATGAATTAGAAATTGTTGCTGTGATGTGCGCTGTCATCCTGAACTAGGAACCTTTATTCAACTAGATGTGATGCTATCTTTGAGCTAGAAACTTCTGTATAGGGAGGAGCTCCAAATTTACAACAAACAAGAACTAAGCAGATAAAAAAAAGGTAAATAGTAACATCTGTATCCTGTCACACAGCACTGACTCTCTAATCGCAGACAATAAAGTCTTTTAGCTTAACAGAGGAATGACTTGCTATCAGCAACATCTCAAATTACAAGAGGGGAATGAAGTTATTGAACTTCCTTAGGGCACATATTATATCACAACTACAGAAAATGTCGTGCCAGCTGCTTTCTCTGCTAACGTTACTTGGTGAAATGGCAAATGTCAGACTAAATGTCACAGGGAAAAGGGCGACATTTTCAAGTGTTAGACCTAGAAAACACTGTAAAATACAAGAGATAGACCGAAATTAGATTAATTCTAGATTAATTTCAAATTCTAGATTAATTTCAAAGGTGTTTTTAATAAGCATAGACTGTTCAATAGACGTTCGCGATGTTAAGACTACAACAACTACAAACAATATGGCTTAATCCTTTCTAAAACACGTTACATAATGTAGATAGGGTAAAATTAAAGGCCAATCTCTTTATTGTACTTTATAATACAACAATAACACGTGTATTTAGTATGAGTAAAGTTAGAAGTCATGTTAGGGGTTCAAATAAATGTGCCGAATGTATTAAGGAAAACACCCGTTTATAAATATGCAGGTATTAAAAATTACAATAAGTATTATTATGATATCGATTAACTTAATGAACTTAAAATGAACTCGCGTTACCGTATTTTGGATAAGCTAAAATGAGGTGCTCATTCGCTGAGAATATTAGCCAATTGCAAAAGACATTAGCACGGCTAGCTAAAACAACACCTCATGACTGAGGTCAAACTAGAACAAATTATACTTAAAATTATTGTTTAAAAAAGCATAACTGTAAATAATAAATGTTTACGTTTTGGCCAGAAGTCGTTTGATTGCTAGCTGGCTAACATTGTTTACCATTTAAAGCTAACGACGTATTATAAGGACCTATAAACGGCATCTTCAGTGTTAAATTATTACATAAAAACCAGTATGACTCAGATATAGTACTATTCATGAACTGACACAAACATATATTTTTGCACTTACCAGCTTAGGGCAAAAAGCTTTTAACTAACTAACTAAACCCGCTCGGTCGGTCGGCTGATCGCTGTAGCTCTTACTGTGTTGCCAGATCTCTCAGGAGACTCGAGTGATTTTGTTAGAGAGGTGTGGTCAAAGGGGATAGCTACTTGTGTATGCATTAAGAAGAATTTATTGATTTCCATATCTATCACCACATTTTCTCCCTCCACTACAGAACTGTATACTGCAAATAATTCGCCTAAAAACTGCACACCGGTATGTAAAGGTCGCTCGCTGTATGAAAAAATCCCAAAGCGCTTATAAAAAGTTGACATGGCAACACCGCTTCTCTACTTTCTATTTTGCGGAAACCCACAGCTTTGCAAATTGTTCTTCTTAAAAGAACAAAGATTATTAATATTTAAAGAGTAAAGATTATTTAATATTTATTTTAATATAAAATATATTTAAAATATTAAACATTTTTACAGTTTTCTTATTTATTTATTTTTTGTATCTATGCTCTAGTAGAACACAATCACATAAACCACCATTTGACATTTTTAAATTGATCTTCAGCAATGTAAGGACTTTTATTTTGAAATAACGGCATCCGGTTACGCTCCTGTTTCCCATAATTCAGAGAGACAAACAAAAAGCCTCTGGTTGCGTCTTAATATCATTAAGTCATAAATAACTATGTAATTATTATTTTGAGACATTTCTAAAACACAGTTTTAAATACACCTGAGCTTTTTTAATTCACTGTTTGTAATTCAGTGTAAATGTATTGAGCTGTCGTAAGGTAAGGGATGGTAAAATGCATTTGCACCTGCTAGCAGTGCCTTGTAGAATGACTGTGTATTTGAACTACTGTATGTGAATTAAAAATCCACTCCACATTTAATGATTGACCATGGGAAATTATATCCAAACTTTGCAAATGTGGTCCAGTTATGTTGGAACCATTGGTTACGCTATCGTACAGTCACAAACCAGTGGTGGATTCCTTAAATTTTAAAACTCTGAATACATTTAATTTACCTTTAGTTAAAAATTATTTCATATTAACCATGTTAAACCGTATTGTAATATTTTGTTATTATATATGCATATAATGTAAATAAGTGGTAATAATATAGGTCTTTAGAGTACAGACATGCACTAAAATTTTTTTCATTATCTTATAAATGTTTTGATCAATAGACTCAAAAATGTTTGAACTTAGTGTTTAGACATATACATTGTGCCTAAGTATGAATTTAATCAGATTTTATTCAATGCACTAACAACAGCCAGTATTTATGTTACAGTATACTTACCATTAACATGTTAGCCCATGATAAAACTTACAGACAACTTTTGATTTTAATAATGAATTTGTACGTTGAAATGAACATATACTGCTTTAGACTTATTTTTCAGTGTTTGTTAACTCTAATGTTGTTAACAAATGGTACCTTATTCTTAGGTGTTACAAAATAAGCAATAATAAAGTAAAAATGTGAATATTAAAGCATGAGTAGACCTACATTTTTTTACCACTAGTTTAGTTTACATCCAGTTGCGTCTATACATTTGAAAGATTCTTCTCATCAGACATGCTACAGACGTGCTGTAGTTGTTACTTTGTAATAATTATCTGTGTCTTTCCTCTGCTTCCTCTGTTCAGGATGTGTTCTCATCGAAGCCTCCGAAGAGCATGTCACTGATCCTGTTTGCCTTTGTGGTCCGGGTCAGGGATGGACTCCCTCTCTCCGCCTCCACTGATTTCCTGCATAACAAGGAACTTCAGGAGAGAAAGCAACAGCTGAAAGTGATCTCAAAATCCCTAAGTTTATTACCAGAGAGAGGGACAGTCAGGGGCCATGAACTCAACATTCAGTAAGTGCATTCTTGTTTATGAACAACTCTGTCTTTTAGTGGTCATGGAAACCAAAAGACCAGGAAGTCTGCTCTTGAGCAGTGAATAGTGAATAAGCAGCAATAATGTTGTGCACTGTTCACCCAAAATAAATGTTTACACAGATTTAATTTAGCATCAAATAGGGTAAACCGAAAGTTACACATTTGACCGTCCATCAATTAGTCTTATTTTGTCATTTAAAGAAGGTTTGTTAGTGGTGACCTGCCAAAGGTACTGTGGATGGAAATTAGCCTCTGGATAAATCCGGAAATTGCACATTTATTTAACATTTATGTGCAGTAAAAGTGTATTATTATGAATAAATGAAAAATTGGTATAACCATAATAAACATTACATTTGTTGGCTTGAACATGGTGACATTCCACTCTATTTTGACTGTTTAAAGTATTGTTAGAACAGCATTGTGTATCAAACCGAATTTTATGACATGACTGTATTGTTTCACTAAGTGTTACCATATCAGACACAGGAACTATAAGAATGTGCCTGGCAATGTGTACCTGCATTCCGGAGTCCGGGATAAGCCAAGGAAATTGGTGACCGCCCTGTGAATTCATTTGTTAACTAAGTGGTCTCTCTGTGTGTTGTAGCTTCCTCTCATCCGAGGGTGTGTCGTACATGACCGTATGTGCATGCAGTCTCCCCGCTGCCACAGCCTTCTGCTTCTTAGAAGACTTGCGCTGGGAATTCACAGCATGCTTCGGCAACTCTGCAGTGACCCTGGCAAGCAGGCCGTACCCATTTCTGGAGTTTGGTAAGGTGACAGAAAAGTGCATAGGATTGGTTTTGATTTAAACCATGGATATGAAACAGATCTTGAGTTTAAGATATTACATTAACAATTGCACTAATTAAGATGCTCATTTTTGTCTGATGGTTTAATTTCAGATAGTGCAATTCAAAAACTCCAGCAGCATTATAACCAGAAAGGGGGTCCATCTCTGGAGGTGACCCTGGCCGAGGTGCAGGAAGACCTCAGGACCAGCCCCCCTCAGGTTCTTACCATGGAGGACGTGGCACTCACCAATGGAGCAGCCAATGGGCATGTAGAAGAAGCAGCTGCGTCAGGTTTGCTATATTGACGATTGCGTTTTTTTTCCGTAAGGGTGGCAGCAGCTTAAGTTGGACATATAAGTTGACTGATTATTGGTCTGTGTTGATTTTAAAGGTCAAAGTCAGAGATTGGAACCAATCTCAGCACCAGGGATCCTCTCACTGGTTCTTAACATCATGTGTGCTGCCCTCAACCTTATACGTGGTGTTCACCTTATTGAATACACCTTCCAGGTAACACTGTGGTCCAAGTGTTGTATGTAGGTGTTCATTTAACAGATTTTATGGCTGATAACCAATATATTGCCAACCGTCTAAATAAAGTAAATATATTCACTATTTAGTCTAAATTAAACTAAAAAAATAAAATAAAATAATTTAAATGCTTCAAGTGAATTCTGGCATTATAATGGACATTATGTAAAATGGATATTCATTTGTATAAATTTTGCTTTACTTTTAACAGTTTATGTTAACATCTTTAAGCAATTGTTAGATGGGTCAAAGGTAATCTAAATATATAATTAGGGCATGCATGAGTGCAATTAAATATCCAGTATCTGCCCATTCTGACTACAAAAAATCTATTATATCAGCCGATACTCTGTATGCTGGTACTGAATAATCTTGTCATGCAGTAGCAGATACCCTTGGTTTATTAAAAGCTATATAGGCGGACATACCATAAAGTCATTATTTATATTTGTACACTTATTATGTTATTTTTTTGCCTAGCAGACATGGAGGAGATTCATATCTAGATTCATATCCCTTTTGTTTTGTTATTGTTAAACTAAAACTTTAAAAAGTTGTTTTCATTATTGGAAATAAAGCTGAAAAATATGTATATGCTAATAATATAAAATAAGTTAAAGTACTTAAATAAAAATAGACATATAAAAAAAGATAAAAGCAAATAGCAAAGTACTAAAACGTAAACTAAAATTAAAATTTAAAAATAAAAGCTAATTCAAGATATTAAAAATTCGATACGTCTATAAATAATAATAAAATAACACTGGTACAAAATCCCTATAATAACTCGTTATATGTAATTAATTAATACATTAATTGATTCATTATAATTAAGTGAAGTTTTTATTTATGATATGACACCATTTTTTACAGGATGATTATGATGGTTTGTGGAATGTGGTGGCTTTTCTTTTGGCATTTCTCTGCTGTGTTTGCCAGGTAAATTGCATTACTACTCTACATGTGGCATTTATAACGCCTGTAAATGCACACGAAGCTGCCTAACTCAAATTTGTGTCTCCTTCCTAACACAGTGTCATCTGTACTTGTTCCATACCTGCCAGAAGAAATTGAAAGCCTTCACTCTCCTGACTCTCATCATCTTTTGCAATGCTTTTCTCTTTGGCCCGAGGAACATCTGGCAGCTGGTCTTCCACATGTCCGTGGCCTGCCTCTCCACGCTGCTAACCCTCCACCGCAAACTGCTGGACAGGAACATGGACTGTGGAGTATGAGGACTTCAGGAGCAGGGTGAGATACTAGCAGAAAGGAGGAGACATTTTACTCATGAACTGGTGGCTCACGTAAACTTGATATTGATTTTCGCTTCATCTCTTGCTTTGATCTACTGGTATGATGTTTATTTTGTATTACGTAGATGGTGAGTGCAATGATGTTTTTTACAGGGGTCTTCAAATACATTGATGAAAAATCAAGTTGTTAAATGACATGTCGTGAGTGTAATATGGAGGAATTGATGAACAGACATGAAGTAAGCATTTTGTTGTTTCTGTTAAGTTAATTTAATTTTATTTATTTGCTGCAAAATAGGAATACTTACCATTGTTTAAGCTAACTTAAACCTAATCTATTTGTAGGAAGGGTTCATTTTGTTGTAATAAAAACTATAAATTCACATATATTATGTGTAATTAACCTAAAGTGGGCATGGTAGGGAATTCAGTACATTTTTTTTTTTTTGGACTGTGTCGTTTAATTATGGCTATACTCAATATCTTTTTTTTTTTGTTAATTATATTAGTACTATAATTTGTATACAAAGCACATTTATGTTGGTCTTATGTCATTTTCTACACAAGATAATTTTGTGTAGCCTTTCTACAATACTCGTTCCAAAGACTATAAATCTGAAATCATTTCAACAAATTATCATAATTCTGCATTCATTCTTGGCATGATGTAGAGAAGAAGAACAGGGGCTTAAAAAGTTGCAGGAGCGTGCAAGTCTTAACAAAAATAACAAAAACAGATCATAATTAAAAAAATGTCAGTATACATTTTAGTGTTTATTTAAAGAGGCTAGTTTACATATTATGTAATTATTTATTTGCACTATTTTTCATGAAATTCAAACCACTATGGACAAAAACCACTAGAACGTTTTTTTTTGTTTTGCAGCAGTATTATAATTTGATCACGTAAAATTGATCACATTCATTTGATGACAACTTAATATTGAGTTTAAATTTGATCACAAGGATGTCATATCATTTTACACTGAGGCAGGATATTAAGTTTGTACTAGTACTGTCAAATCAATTAATTTCGATGAATGAATTGAATTTCGATTATATTTATGTATATTAATATATACAGTATATATACATGTTTGTGAGTGTGTGTGTATATACACTATGTATACACACATACATATATTATTTTAATCAACTTGTATGTTAGATGTGATTTATCGTGATTAATTGATTTGACAGTACTAGTTTGTACACTGCATTTCTGTTAATTGCAAATGTCATGCACTTGCTATTATTCCTCAAGCAATCCACGTGAAAAAATCATTGGTAACACTATTTTACAGTGTCCTTCTTACATATGTACTTATAGTAAATTATCCATAATTACATGCAACTAACCCTCAACCTAACCCTACCCTAACCCTATATTAAGTAATAATATATAATTTAATAAAATAAAATTACACTGTAACAATGACACCTTAAAATAAAGTGTAACCAAATAATTTACGTTCATCGGAAGTAGTTTGCAGGCAAGTAATAAGTGTAGATATAATTATCTGAACAATTCCTAAATTTTTACAAGCAAGCTGTGCTTCTAATGGTTGGTACAAAGTTGTCATTTTTCTGTGTAGTAGCAGGAGCTTGCATGTGACGTTTTTGTCGAGGATAACATTTAGTGCTGTGGTATGCTACAGTATTTTCAGGTGTCAATGCCTTACATTTTATAATTACAGCTATCAAAATGGAATGAGAATGTGTGTTTGATCATTTCAAAGTGTCAATCTATTCTAAACAATTTAATGCTAATTGTAATAATAGTGCTGTAAGGGCTCTGTTTCTATTGACTGATTATAGGTTTCCTTTTCAGGATAGCATGACAAAGTAAAGTGACATGTTCCATTTGCAATCATGAGTTCTTGATACATTTTTACATTTAAAATGAGCATTTGATTGAAGGTTACGGAGATCACCGCTCTCGGCCTTTTTAATGGATACATATTTACTCACTCCTCATATAATAGACAAAGTGTGTTTGATGAATCTATGAGATATGTATTTTTATATTAATAGTTTTTCATGTTGTAGATTAATTGTTTAGTTGCTCTAAAGAGAAAACTTGTATTTAGATTAATTGTGTCATACATTTGTGACCTATGTTTTTATAAATCCAATAAACTGTAATTGGTAACTTTAACTGTAATTGGTGCTGGAGGTTATTACTTAAACACTTACAAAAGTATCTTAAGACCAATATTGTCTTGCATCCTACATTTGATTCAGATGCATACAATTAAAACCTTTTCTTTTATTAAGGACTATGGCAATTTTGTCATCTTACAGTATATTCTGCATAATGGACAAACAAACACTTTTAGATAGACATTTGAATTGGTTTTGATTCACTGGAAAACTGATCTTTTAACTTCTTCCAACATGAACCTCCAGCAACCAACTAGTAAGTTTACACGACACTGTTTTCAACTAAAAACGGAAAACTTTTTATGCTTTTGGCTATTCATTTGCATTTTTGGAGGCCTGAAAACGCAAACTTTTAAAATTGGTTTCAAAGTGTGCGTTTTTGACTACATTTAAACTACAAAAATGTGAATCCGTGAATGCTTATTGCGTGTTTAATCTATGGGCATGCGCGTTTGGCGCGAGTGCTCTGCCAGCTACTTGTCTGGTATGCATAATACAGCGTTTTTAGTCGTTTTCACGGATCTGTCGTCTGTACTAAGAAAAACATTTCGTTTTTAGTGCATCGTTGTCATGTAAACTTACCCTAAAATTACGTCCTCTAAAATGTGAGCAGATTTGTGTGCACTATTCACATGTTGGAACTTGGTTGTGGCCAAAATCGGATTCAGAAATTTCAAATAAATCAGCAGCTGAACATTATAAGTACACTGTGTGTTTGTCTTATTTGGCTTTTGGGCAAAAAGATTTGCTTGAGCATTTTTTTCTGGTTGAATCGAGTCAAGAGTGTTAAAATTAACACTGAAGCAGTGTTAAAGTTAACGAGATAAGTGATTAAATGCATTCTGATTGAACCTTATTGAAGACATCTGATATTAACAATCAGAATCACTGAAGGAAATGTTTAGGTCACCATTATGGAGGTCAGTGTTAACTTTAGTTTGGCTCTTAAAAACTTAAAAAAAAATGTCAGTGCCATTGTTTTTTTTTTTTTCAAGTTGGACTCAATATTTTTTTTTTCTAAGGCACATTTATGAACGCTACTTAAATGTCTTAATTTAACCAAGGCCCGATCCTCGCTTAATATAAGCCCTGTCTGTGAAACCAGGGGCATATACCATGAAGCCGATTTGGGTGGCTTGGTGTGTTTCAGTTTAGTCTGCACCAACCCTGGGTTTTAGACCTCATGAAAGTGGTTTGGCTTTTAACAGTGTTCATCACCATAGTAATCACGGCTAACCTGGTCCGGGGCAGGTTAAGTTCCAGGTAAGTGGTTGCAAAACTGAACTTGGACCAATCAGCTGTGAGCAAAGTGACACATGCCTGATACAATAATCTCTCCACCTGTTTCTACTCCAAATTAAAGGTCACTACAGCAAATGATTTTAAAGAAAAAAATCGTCTTTTAATAGCCTAATGCTTATTTAGAATAATAATTTTGTATGATGTAGATATTATTTATGTAATTTTTTCTTTCATTTTTCTTTTAATAATTCATGTGACTAAACATTAATATCAGATGGTGTTTTTAGGGTTGTAATATATGTATTAGAACATTGGGTGGCAGTATAAAACTATAGTGTCTTACAGACTGAGGGAGCTGTGTACATTTTATGAGGTCAGATGATTGTCAACAGTGCTTTTCAAAAAGCTGTGTTTAATTAAGGTAAAAGTAAAGATTAGGGAAAGATCAAAGACAAAAAGTTCAGATGTCTTTGGCTTCAGCTAGTATTGCTATTTTGATTGAGAAAACCCTGCATTTTCATATCGGTTTCATATCCTCACTTTTGATTCTTTTGAACTGAACATATGACCTGTTGTGTGAAAATAAGACCTGCTGTTGACTTTAAATGATAATGAGGTTTAATGTTAAAACTCTTCAGCTCTTAAGCTGAGATCTGGGACTTGTATGAGTGTAATTTCAACTTTGTGACCTTATATCACTTCTGTTGATCCATCCTCTTAAGGCTATGATCTATTTATGGAGATTAGGAAAGTCTTTTGAGTAATGCTGGTTTTTAGAGTGGCAATACAGATCAAGAAAAAAGGTGTAGGTCACTGAGTAATGCCGGACAAGAAAAACAGTGCAGGCATTACACTTCCAAGTGTTGCTGTCTCTTGGCAGGCAATGGTGCACTGAAAGCTTGGCAGTATACAGTCACCTTCAGTCCAACAGATAAGTGCAGATGTTTGGTTGTTTGACCCAGACCACTCTCTACTGCACTGATCCACTTCATTTCTGTGTTAAACAAGCATGAGAGGATCAGTCCCGGTGTCCTGATTCTGCTGTTGGTGCTCACAGGTCCAATAGCGAGCAACTAACATCTCTTTTACTTAGAAATTTAAAGGGATAGTTCACTTTGAAATTAATTTTTGATATGTTTTAGCTTACCTCAAGGGCATCCAAGATGTAGGTGTCTTTGTTTCCACAGTATTTTCAATTTTGATATTTTAAGGTCAAACCGTTCTTGTCTGCCAGTCATATAATGGAGGTATATGGGGTCCACCTCAAAGAGCATGCACAGAGAAGTCCAAATTAAACATGATTTAATGACTCGTAAATGTAAGTACACATGGATGGCCTAAGACTCGAAACGAGCGGTTTGTGTGAGAAAACAAACAGTATTTATATCGTAATCACAGTCACATCCAAGTACTCTGAGGGCGAGGGAGCTTCTCTCATTGCATATTGACACACGTTGCATTGATACACATTGATAAACGCTCGTTTTGTGTCTTAGGCCATCAATGTGTACTTACATTTACGAGTCGTTAAATCCTGTTTAATTTGGACTTCTCTGTGCATGCTCTTTGAGGTAGACCCCATTGACCTCCATTATGTGACTGACAGACAAGAACGGTTTGACCTAAAAATATCAGAAATGAAAATACTGTGGAAACAAAGACACCTACATCTTGGATGCCCTTGAGGTAAGCTAAAACATCAAAAAGTGAACTATCCCTTTAAGATGCCTATTCATTGCCATTATGACACTGCTTCAGATAAAATCAGCATGAAACTTAAAGGGTTAATTCACCAAAAAAAAAAATGATGTCATTAATGACACAAATAACCTTCATGTCGTTCTAAGCCTGTAAGACCTCCGTTCATCTTCAGAATACAGTTTAAGATATTTTAGATTTAGTCCGAGAGCTTTCTGTCCCTCCATTGAAAATGTATGTACGGTATACTGTCCTTGTCCTGAAAGGTAATAAAGACATCATCAAAGTAGTCCATGTGACATCAGTGGGTAAGTTAGAATTTTTTGAAGCATCAAAAATACATTTTGGTCCAAAAATATATCTTATTATATCTGATATCTTTATATTTCCTTTCTGGACAAGGACAGTATACCGTGTATACATTTTCAATGGAGGGACAGAAAGCTCTCGGACTAAATATAAAATATCTTAAACTGTTCAGAAAATGATAGGTGAACTAACCCTTTAAGTTGCGTTAGTCTTTTCTTCCCTATTGAGAGATAAATCTGAATCAAACTGCTTCTCAAATGAAAAAATGTAGGGTTAGATTTGATTTTGTCCATCAGGATTTGATTGGATGGTTGTTGCTTGCCATTGCTGTGATGTCA